ATCAGTTTTTTTCATTTTTTGCGATGGCGTGATCATATTATAAACATAAAAAAGTTAACAACATATATTTTGCAGAAGGTATAAAGAGATCAGTTTAAGTTTTATACTGGAATTGCTGAGAATTGTTTTAGAATTGATAAGACTGTCATTTCCTAAAAAGATTTATGAAACGCATTTGAAACGTTTGCTGATTTGTGGTAAGCATCTGGGCTGATTCACTTCATGTTTGCCAGTCTAAATCATTCCTTTCATCAAAAGAATCAAGTGAAGTGAAACCGCCGTCGGAAAACTAAATATGTCAGGGGCAGAAAAATGAAAATGATGTTTCCATCTAGAAAAATAAAAATAAAGATAACCGGTTTGTAAAGTAGGTAAAACAGACTCTGTTGTACGTGATCTGAGAAAGGAGGAAGAAAGGTGATAAAAAAAGGATAAAGCATGGGAAGCAAACATTTCTCAGTGCATTTCTGAAACTTTAGTGCTTTTGTAAAAAGGTAAAAAGCTTGATAAACAGTAACAGTAAAAAAGCAGTCTTTACAAGGACAAACAGAAAGAAAATTTTAGTGGTTTGGCTTCAGAAAACAAAACTAATTTGAGCACTTTTAAACAATTAGTTTTAAAGACAATTGTCTTTAAAGTAAACGCTAACTGCTAGCATCTTAGAAAGAGAAATTTTTTCCCCTCCTTATCTGTTTTGGTTTGAAGAATTCAATATTAAACCTGTCCTCTGCCACTTAAAATAATTCTTCTTCTTGAACGTTTATGTTTGACACTCTAGGGTGTAAAATTCACCTAAGTGACGGTGCAAGAAATCGTTCTAACTATCAGGAGCAAAAATGCAACTGATAAAAATGCATCGACTCCACTGGTCAACCAGAAGTGGTACAGAGGTGGCTAAAAGATGCTCTACTGATCTGTGTACTTTGTTTCCGAAAATCCACAAAAACTCTTTAAGAAATCTCTTTTTAAAAAGTGGATTTCCTTTTTGCTGATTCTCTTTTGGTTTGAAATTGCTTTTTTACGTACATCTCAGTTCTCAAAGAATGCAAATTTTTTGTGCCAAGCAGCAGCAAAAAGTTCCTATTGCTGGTGTAGAAAGATCAGGCTTCAAGAGATAGTGACGAGAAGCAGAAGGAAGAGCAGTAAGGTGATAACGGCAATTGAAAGTGATGAGGAGAAAAGAGAGAAAAGAAACAATTGAAAGCGCTAAACAATTAAAAGTAGTTTTTCTTTCGGTTTTTTGGATACTCATCACTCTTTTTGAAAATTTTTTTGATTGTTGTTTTTTCTTTCAAAAATAGGCGTAGCATTAGCACCCTAAACCGGGGATGAAGCTTTGATGTACATTTACTAGCAAATAAATTTATCACATTAACTTTTCGTACCGCCAAAAAGAGCAAAAAAAAAGTTCACTGTGAAAAAATCTCACATTTTCACTCTTGAAGCAACCAAAGCGAAGAATAAAAATTTTGTAAGACGTAAACCACATTTTTACTCTCTCTTTCTTGACCGACTTTTTAAGTGCGCTTATGTATAAGTACGTATAGAACTCAGGTACATTTTTAACAACTTCTGGTGGCTTACATGCGTTCTCAGTTACTGCAAGAAAGGTGAAAAAACGTATAGTGGCTTGCATCGCGACGAATAATTCTCCCACAATGTTGCTTTTTCGTTTTACTTCTTCCTTACGAATATATAACGTGATCATCTCACTTGTGAATCTCAGCTCAAAAAACATTAGCCGTTAAAAACATGCACTTGCACTTTTTTAAATAGCAATTTTCTTTTTTTTCAGTTTTTGTAAATTTTTCCACCCGTTTTGTTCTTTGGAAGTTGAACCACGGCGATAGTAAGAGATACTTTGTCTACAATTTTGTCTATACTTTTCTCGTTCACAGTATGCTTCGCTAAAAATATTCTTCAGGAATAGATGCTTTACTACAATTTTACATTTTGGCAGCTATTCTAGTTCCGCACTTGGTTTTAAAAACTGCACTGAGAAACCATTTATTGACAGAAACTAGAGAAATTCTAATAAGTTATTTCTCAACGCAATAACTGATTTCCTTTTACTGAATCTTTCATCTTTTCCAATTCTTGAGTGGCATACTTCTTCCACTGATCTGCTAATTGTTTCCATTCTTCCTCTTTAATATTTTCTATTTCTTTCTTCACCTGAAATTACACTAACTGCAACTGCCGCTTCAAGAGCAAATGTGAAGCACTTTCAATATGAGAACTGAAACAGAACAGCAGCTTCAAAAACTGTACTTTTTCCTCAAAACTCTCTTGAATTCCCGTAAACGCTGGTCTTGTTTTCCCATCCTTTTGTAAGCAACCTTCAAGCAGGTTTTTTACTGCTTGCGGTAGGTTTTGAGGAAGAGGCAGCTTCAGCTCCCTAAAAATTTGTTTCGGTTCCATTTGGTGATAGCGAACAACCACAAATTAGGGGTAAATTAAAAATGAAATTATATGTTTAAACAACTAACCCAGAAGAGACATAGAGAAGCAACTGGTTAGGCTTGAAACCTTCAAAGGGTCTTACTCCCATCAAGAGTTCCCAAATCAATGCACCGTAACTCCAAACGTCAATCTAAAAAACGCATTCTTTTTTTTAGAGAGCCAATAAGTTGTTAATTGAAACATTTTGGCAACGTACGACAAAAAATACTAAACCTTGTTTGAACATTCATCGCGCCTCATCATTTCAGGAGCCATATAAGCATATGTTCCACAAGC